TTTAGCAAAGGGTATGAATATGCGAGGAAAAATCTTGGGTTACCTTTGCCATCGTCATCCCGATTCAGGATGTGATCAAGTAATCCATCGTGCGAGCCTGGAATCTTAGTTGATATACTTCGATTAATGCAGTCATGCCGGAAAAAGATCGCATTTGTTGCTTGTCTTATGACGAGATGAAGATTGATTCGCGGATTTGTTACGATGCCAAGACATATGCAATGTATGGACCTCGCAATCAGTTGATGATGGTTATGGCAAGAGGGACCTTTCTGAGCTGGAAGCAGCCTATTTATTTTCAGTTTGATGGAAAGATGTGGTCATGACATATGTCCTACAAGAACATCATTCCATAACCCATACGATCCGAGTCGTTAATTTTTCTCCTTTGCTGATGCGCCTTATATGTTGAAGCTCCGCCGAAAGTACTTACTCGACAAAGGGTTCGCATGGGAGGGTTGAAGGAGGGGTTGAAGCAACCACTCCTCTCCCTGGACAGTTATGAACTGAAAAATTGCTACAAAATCACAGCTTCTCATCGCTCCGTATCTGGCAATGAAAGGCAATGAGTTCGGCTAGCACCAGACGTATTTTCTCATGCAGTTGCAGAGGTCTTGAAGTTTCACAGCCCACAAAGCAAAGCCCAAGCTGCCTTTATTGACCTGGTGGATTCCTACTTTGATGATTTTAATTCAAGGACACCTGTTGATGATGTGAAGCCCATGCGCTATGGATATGGCGTGAGGACTACAGAATAGAACACCACACTGGATCGAATGTATGACCTTTGCAAAGACATGAGAGCAAATGGTAAGAAATCTCTTCTTCCATGTCGGATGGGAATCCTTGTTTTTATTGCTTCTCGGAAGAAGCTGGCCCCCCATCTTTTCGAGAAGTATTCCCAGGGCTACATTCTGACATCACGCATGAATCAAGATTGCCTAGAGAACTTTTTCAGCCAAATCAGAGCAGCAGGCAGGTTTGATACATGCCACACAACTATATCAGTCAATTTCAGGATAAGGTCCTTGCTTCCGCGCTCTGGCCAGATTCTGCATCGTCAAGGTATTACAATGTTCAAGGTGATGATGCCGGTTTCCCGATTGGCATTCGCTCAGACGAGTTTTCTTCGCATGCAGTGGAAGAAGGACCCAGAAGTATGCCTAAAGGCAAAATGAAATGAGAAATCCTTTCGTGAAGGTATACCAGCTTCTGACCTGAGAGATCCCATAGGGGAATTGAAACAAGAGGATCAAGCTTTCAAGTATGTGGCATGATATGTAGCATTCAAACTTACTTCAAAAGTTCCAGGTTCAGGCTCCTGTCCAGTTCACGACCCAGAAAGTGACTCCTGGATTCAAATAATCAGTCGTGATGGCCTAATGGAACCCTCCCAACATGGCTTGGGGATGTCACGATTTTGGAACAGGAGTTTCGGCACACCATGGGGATGATATTCGGAGAGGGAAAAACGTGATCAGCGATTTAACATCTGAATTGCAGAAGAACTACCCACAAATGTCCAAGGAAGCTATTCTTTGCTTCATTCGAACAAGGACCTTCATCCGGATGAGGAATTTGAATAGGGAGAATGCGGCAAGAACCGCAAGAAAGCGAGAGCAGTGGCATGCTAAAAAACTGAAGATATTCCTAACAAAGCGTCGAGAGGATGACGCCACCGGAACTATTTGATACATTTCACTCTGGCCAATCCATCGCGAATGCCCTTCCTGCGATGACGTCACAACGGTATGATGTCTAAGCCCCGCCTCGCTCTTTAATGAATATGTCTGTCGAGCAGGGCCTGATGAAATGCTGTTTCCAGCATTTGACTTCCACTGATATTTTGTGTCTGTGGGGTGTTTTCTTTGTGGAGAGTTATCCTAAGTCTGACTCCTTGATTGGTATTATCACTTATTATTGTTGAGTTACTACTACAAACCAAAGGACTAAAGGCTACTACTAATGACTGTTTTTTTGCTCCTTTTTGATAATATGTAAATCTGATTCAAATTGACATAAAATGCACAAGTGTTTTTATGCCCTGTGATCCCCACATGGTGGGATCACCCCTGCTCAGAGTTGAGTGAGAGAGCAGGATAACGAACATTATTGAAAAATAAATATACTGCAAGTGCCTTAGTTCTTTTTGTGGGCCTAAATTATGATGTTCTGAGTCAAGTTATTCATTGCTATTTAAAATAGTTTAGGATGTTCCTGCCAAGGCAGGTGCCGGGAAAATGATAAGAAGAATTTGTAAATCTCTTTGGGAGCCCAATTCCTTGTACTTTTGACATTTAGACCCAGCTTGGTCCGCCCGTTGGTACTTCAAGCTGGGCGCCCCGTGGCTAATTTACTGAGATGCAGTTCGCTAATCAGAATCAAAAGTTACAAAGTTAGCGTGGCTGGGTGGTGATGAAGTTGAGGTTTAGTGCCTGTAAGGAGGTTATAATTACATTATATTATTTAGGTAATGCACAGTGCTAATAAGACTTTCATATCAGAGATGGGTGTCATGCATTGCTCCGGGGAGAAAGTCGGGGATAATGGGCCGATTCCCTCGCAAAACCGAGGATACAACTTGCGTTTGTAGAGATTGACCCAGTTTATAGAAAGGGTTCTATTAAGGGATATGAGCTTGTTTTTGGTCTGGGCTACATGAATCTATTTCGAGTATGGGGATAACAAGTGATGAAGTGTCCGTGGTAATTGATTCTCATAATGAGATTAGGCGAGACATGGCAAGATGCTAAACTCTCCTGTGAGGGACGAAGGGCGAAGAGGAAGGGCGAAGGGCACTTTTGTGAACTGTTCCAGACGCGAAACCTATGCCTTGCATCTAGAGGCCTGGAGGATAACGTTACAATTCCTTAGAACTTCCATTGCAAGTTGTATGCCTCCTGAATCTCCAATGCACGTCCTAAGTAAGAATAATTTTCCAGATATTAACAATCAAATGGTTGTGTAGCCTAAGATCTTGTTGAGCTTGTGTTTGAGGACAGATGGTCTGCACGTGCTCGTAGCATTTTTATTTCTTCTTTATGATTAGCCCTATATCCCTCTCCTCTTGCGTCCCCCCCCCCCGACTTACCATTGCCGAATATATTGAACCCCCCTCCCCACTTACTGTGGCTTCTTGGAAGTACTTAACATTTTCTCCTATTGCGCTTCATGAGTCAGTTTTTGCTCCACTCGTACATAAGGCATTAAGTTCCTTCGGTTCCTTCCCTGATATAGCTTTTGGCCCGCCTCAGTGCTGCCCCGATACACGCTGTGAGAACTTAGTCTGGTTTTAGGACTGCAGGCGGAACTCAGAGATAACTCAGAACTTGACACTGCCACTGATGTTGACGCCACTCAACTCTAAGAAGTCCAGATTCAAGGTTTCTCAAAAAGGAAATACAGATATGAAAACAACATATCTACTGCGTACATTTTCGGAGAGTGAAAAAATCATACCCCTCTTGATAATATTTTTTTAAAATGAGTCTGAGATTCCCACCGCTGAGTGATTTTACGCAACTCACATGCCTGCGCATTTCTCTCTCTCCCTCTCTTAAACTCCACGATGATTTAAGAATGCTCAACTAATGGCATTAATTCTCATAGTTTTATGATCCATCCGATACAGCTGTCCTGTCCTGATCAATGCCATAATTTCTCTTCCTCTTATGCATTGTGTTATTTCCGGAATATATATAACTATCAATAATTGCAGCAATTGCTTCATACGAACTTGCAGTTTGAAATACAAGTAATGACCCATTTGACCTTGGGGTCAAATACCCTCTTAACATTATCTCGATTATTTAAAAACAGCTTAGGTGAATCTCGAAGACCTTGTTATTCCCAAGTGAAAATATCCCGACATAAAATATTCCTGCAACGTTTTAATCATGTTGATGAACGATGCTGTTTCAATGCGTGAGTTTTCAAACGACATCATTGCTCGAATTTTGCAAACGAACATTGTATTGACCTTGCAGATCGTTACGTATGCACAGCTGTTGCAGAAACGTTTCAGAACTGTTCAGCTTAAGCTACTGACCTAATCTTGACCTCTTTGACCGACTGAGTCGATCCCATGAACATATTTATATTTTTGAGTCGAGTCGAGTCTAATGACTCCAAAGACGTCAGTGAACAATTCGCCATGTTTTTTTGGCATGATCATTTGGAGCATGAATATTCCCATCGTGTGTGGTGAGAAATGTGCCCATTCAATGAATAGATACCGTCATACTCTGAATGGAATTATTTGGTTTCCAATGTGGGAAAATGTTAAATTTCGTCTTAGTTACCTAATTTGTTTAGTTTTTTTGCCCATGAGATACGGTATAGTGACGTTGGCCTCTGAATATTGTATTCAGTTGCGCCTATGCAGGTCAACTAGTGGCTGATGCAAAAGTTCTTCATGAGGGGGGCGCTTTCGCAGTTCCCTCCCCCCCTCCTAATCAATTATCAATCTCCATCTTATCGCCTTTTTTATGTTTCATCCGCGATAAAACCTAGAGATCCATTACACAGGCCGTGATCAAAATGTTTGTGCGTAATTTGTTATGTTTAAAGACATAATGTGAACCTGGTCATGGTCGAGGGCGCCACAGCCCCCTTCTGCTCTCCCTGTGTCCGTCGATGAGTTCGACCGCTAAATGGTTCTTTGTTGTTTTGCCGCACTTCCAAATTCCAGTTCTCTGGGATATAAATTATCACACTCAAAGATAATTTTCGGATGTTCAGCTTACCCTGAGTTCCAATATTGGATGCGAGTGCGTTTGTGTGTATATAACCAGGTGAAAATCCAAAATGGGTTTTCCACCTGAACCAAGCCTGTAAATTCAGACCCATTCGTGTTGGCAAAGAGCAATGAAATTCTGAATGTACAGGGTGCCCCATAAGTCCCAATCGGTTATGATAAAAATTTGGAAAAATCCGCCTAAGCGTTGAGACAAATGGTTCCAATGCGCATGCGCTTTACTGTCCTTCCTTATCCTTAAGAAATGTCAGTAAGTCATTCGTAAAGTTTTCATTTGTCGGTCGTATGTAAAGGAGCAAGTGAACAAGATGTAAAAATGTGGAATAATTGAGAGCAGCCATCCATCCGCAACGCGTTTACAAAGATAACCCTTGAAAAGTTGAGCAAACGTCGCATAGAACTTCGTGTTACCCATAATGGAGCTCACACTGACGTAGTCTACAAAGAGGGAAAGTATTAGTCGAAATGGTTTTATTTTGTACTTTGAATAATCGATAAATATTTCTTAACTTGTTACAAAATTTTTACTTTGATTTTTTTTTGTATTTTCTCTGTAATTATAACCGATTGGGAATAATGGGCCACCCTGTAGGCCTGTTTTAAAGTTGAAATAGTACCTTTATCTGGTTTTATAGCTATTTGAAGCTAAAAAATCTCCTGTTGGAATTTTAGCTTGAGAATAAACAGCTGGAATACGGTTGAATTTACAGCGTAAATTTAGCTGCTTCCTGTAGAAAGACCTCTGCAAGAATAAATAAATTGATCATACTGCATGTAGGAACCAATCTGGATCTGACTTTAATTTGTACTTCTCAGCTGTTCCCAAGCTGGAATGACTGAATTTAGAGCGGAATTGTGTATGCATGAAATTACTGGAGCTGAATTGAAATGATATTTTTTACCTTCTGTTTTTCGGAAGTTTTAACGTCTCCAGGTTCTCTGAAACCCAGTTTCAATCAAAAGTTGTTGAAACTGTGAAGAGAAAATTCTATTTTTTACGCGTTTCGCGTTGCCGCGGTGTCAGCAGGGCTCTACTGTAGATACATTTTCCATGATTCACTAAACATATTTTTCTTATGGCTCATTATTATTGCAATATTCTTGACATCATGTTGCATCAGGCGAAGGAAAAGTCACTGTGTTAAAAGTATTGTAAATTTCAAAAAGAAATACGCCCCTCTGAGTACTAGGCATGGGCTATGCATGGAGGTCCCACATGGGCTGTCAGAGCCATTAGAAAGCAGGCCGAAATCAATTTAGAGGGGAAAAAACACAGTTCACCAAGTTATTAGTTTGAAATATGAAGAAAAAAAAAAGAAAATTTATTTGCATTATGCTAAAGCCCCCTCAAAAAAGGATGTTCAGGATATGGATATTCAGGATATTCGGCTTCTTTGTTTTAGAGAGATACTGACCGGACTGAGCATAGAAGCTGACTGCCCCAAGGACAGATTGCTTCAACTTTGAGAGAAGAAAGAGAGTCTCCAACTTTGCAGTCAACATTGGCTATTTGTCTCCTGTTTGTCTATACTATTTCACCTGCCTGGCAAAGAAGTTCCTCTTCAAGTATAATAGCAAAAATAATTTCAATACAAAACCTGGAAGGTGCAGAATATTTGATGCTCCTGAATCAGCAAATGCAATCACCAAATTGTGCAGGAATTGAACTTCCGTGCTCTCAGTCTGCTTCATACCGCATCCTCATCTTATTCAACATACCTATGTCTTTACGGGCTGGATTATTTTACTAGAAAGTGTTTTCTCCATTTGAACTGAAATGCAAGCATCACAACTTCTTGGCATCCTTTTCATGGCTCAACTTGTTACATCATGGCAGGATAGGTATCCTCCTCTAGAGTCAAGCATCCGATTCCAGCTCGGTAAGTCTGTCACACCTCTAGTTCTACGTTTCATGCCGTCTCACTTGATTTCCAGCCCCAAGTCAGGTAATCACAGAATAGACTTGTTTACCTCCTATCTAATTCCGTACAACAAGCCGAGAGAAAACTTAATGATCCTTGTTGTGTTCTGTGCCTATTGATGTAGAATAGTGAATGTTCCCTTCGTTTCCTAATAACTAATCTTAGTTTGGCCCATCCGATGAGGGTAGGGGATAACATGGCCATTTTTTTTTCTGGAAATGGCAAGTTTTTGTCCTGTTTTTCCAGGTGAATACCATTTGCCCGAATGGAATTTCAATGATACCAAGGACCACCGATTCCGGCTGTTAGCTGGTGACAAATCCGACCTGATCGTTAGAGACATGTACGTTTTTTCTTGCATGAATTAGTGGTATCAGGACAGCGTTTGAGCCGTTCATGGGAATGGATGATTCAAGGCAGGCAAAGACATCCGGATGATCCATACCTTGAACCCTCTCTTCTTCACACTTCTCAAACTTATCCAAGAATGCTTTCTCTAAATACGAGTAGAGATTTTAAGTTCCTTCCATCGCTCGTATTTCCATTTTTGGGACATTTACTTCTCAATCTGGAAAGATTCTCACATGTTTTTTTTCCTAATCCTTCATCGTACTTTTGCTTTCGAAAAAAAAATTAAATGGACGATGGAGGATGGATGCATTTGATTTTTTTTTTCAATATCAAAACTACCTATATCTCGTAGTCTAGTCGCTTTGACTTAGCAAAACTCAAATTTGATTAATTCGAATTAGGAGGAATATGCTCTTTCGCTTAGCAGATGGAAAACGTGAAGAGAGCAACAAAATGTTTTCAGTGGGATAGATGGGTTGAATTAAAGGCGGATTCTCGTTTCCGAGGTTTCCATTTCTCCTAAATCTCTGAGAATAACCTCGATGGATGTTGAGAAATAATGGAATCTAGGCAAGAATCTATCATTTGATACCTATAACATGGTAGCTATCATGATAGGTATCAGGCGATAGGTTTATTATTTGGCGTATGCAAGAACAAATTATACTGTAGGCATCCATCGTGAGGCCTATTATGATAGGTATCTTCATACCTATTATGATAGGTATTTTATACCTATCATGATAGGTATTCGTGAATCTTCCTGATGACAACCTCGTATCCATCATCTCCCGCCCAGGAACAATGCCATGTGTATCTGCTCACATGACTGATCAGAGTGTTGTGTGATGATTTAACGGTATTAATCTGACCCCGTTTACCGGACTAGTGCTTGAATTCCGAATGCCGTGGCTTGATAGAAAGAATTTTACTGGATTTAATCTATCTCAGGGTAACCGCACTCAGCACAAGTTGCGACTGTTCACATAATTAATTGGGCTAATAAAATGCACTGCAATCCAACCAGGTAGCTCGTTATAAGCAGAATAAACAAGTGCTGGATCATAATAGATTGTAGCGATTCTTATACCTATCATGATACCCTATCATGATAGGTATAAAATGTTTCTGCATACGGCCAACCTATCAAACCTATCAAACTTATATGATACCACTCAAAATAGCTATTTTATTGGTTTTATACGTTCTTGCATACCAGATAATGTCTTGCTTGAGAGATCAGGACGAGATGTGGAGAGTTTCGGCTCAATAATACTTCACTTTCCATCCATGCACTCCTCTCCTAGTTCCTCCGAGGAACGTGGGAGGGCGAGATCGTCAATATGCAGAAAATGCTTCTTTCCCACGCCATGAATACTCATGAGCATGCAAATTTCGTTTCATTGATACCTGGGAGTTACTATCGCTGCACCCCTCAATGGTCATCCAAAAGCTTTCCCAAAGGGTATCTCCCATGGAAGCAAAGAGACGGATATCCAATAGTCCATCCAATGGTCATGTCCAAGGATTTTCCTTGGACGAGACATTGAGTCATCCAGGGGATGTCCGAGGAGGATATACCTGTACATTGGATGCCCAATTGTCCATGAGGCTGTGTCCAATTGATTTATTTTGGATCAAAATGGCTACTTGGGTAGGTTCCATTATGCATGGCATAATTCCGTCAGAGGCCTTCTCCCACCCGTCAGTTTCGCAATCTTTAGTTATGTAATACATGTATAATATATAATATAATGGTATGATACGGTAAATTTACGCAAAATGTAAAAACTATATATAGAGAGCATAAACATTTAAAGTAGAATAGGAACGGCATGAAAGAGAATTCTAGCAGTCTTAAAATTCAGCAGAGAATGGATGCAGCTGCTTCAGCATTATACGCTCCTGTTGCTTCATTTTCAGAACATATTAGCTGAAAATTTCCTAGATTCATCTACATTTTGTGAAGTGCATTCACAGTCGACCCTTTTGCCCCTCGGTACTATCAGACAACACTTGTGCAGGAATGTTACTTTTACCCCATCCCTCGGAGCCAAAGTAATATGAAACAAGGCTTTAAAAAAGGAGGTTTCCGAAGGTTTCAATACAGATTCATATTATGAAAGTCATTGGAATTTCTTGGTCACTGCTTGAAGAGGGTAGACATCAATTTTTGTGACAACGTTTTTGCTTGTATTTATTTATAGCATCCTGCAAAGTGCCATTATGTGCTTTTCTGGTTCCTTTTACCTCACACCTCACCCCTACTTGAGCAAACACAGACTGAAGATCAGCAGACACAAATGGATCCCTCTCGCAGAGGAGTCTACTTCAACAAAAAGACTCTGTTCCATATGACTCTTTGACCGAAAAAAATGAGATTAAAGCTCTGTAACAGTGAGGAAAATCTCGAAACTGGTATCTTGGAACCTCGACCACCGAAATTTGTCTTGTACAATTGGCCTTTGAGAGCCGTATACAGATCGTATGCTTTAGTGACAATGGATCCCACTGCGGAAAAAAATTTTACAAAGGGAAAGACGAAGTAAAAAGGCTCGAACGAGGTAATTTAATGCCGTACATATGTTTGCTACTAAAAGTACTGAGCAAAAAATAGGATTTGACATTTTTGGAAAATATTCTAATAGCAGACAGACGCGATTCAATGAAGTCTAGTCCCGAACGCCAACATCCTTATCAGAGAGGTGAATGACGGTCACAAAAAGTTCAATGCAACTGCGAATTCTCATGCCTCATTAGATGGGATCTAAATAACGAACCTCAAAGAGGATCTGGTTACTTTCCTCAACTGAAAGAGTTAGTAAATTCTAAATATAACCTCATGATTTTGCTTTAGACGTTTCCATTGAAAATTTGAAATTTACAGGGTGGGGAAAAAGTAACTATACATTTATTGTGCACTGAAAATAGCTATTTTAGTAATTTCGTCCTCTTTGTATCAAAGTAATGCTGCTGGATGAAGCTGGTAACTTTTGATATTATATTAAACGATCATTTTTCTGTTATTTGTGTTTTTGTTTTAAACAACGGTCGATATGACGCTAGAAATTAGCATATGTTCTATTTTCAGCAACTGTATTGTGACTTTTGCCCCACTCTGTACTTGCTGTCATGTTGCTATAAGGGTGCGCATCATCTGGCAATACGGAACCAGATTATGGCCTATCACCAACATATTTGACTGTTTTCTTTCCATTCCATTCAACTGGTAGGATACTGGTAGGATACCGAATCTCTATGATCTTGAAAACTTCGAAATTATGTAGTGTCCCTATTTATTCAATATCTCTGCTGCGTATATCTAGTTTTCACCAATTTGCATTTAAAAAGCTTGCAGCAAAAGGCAGTACTCAAGGAAAAATTCAATACTTGTGTATATAGGTTTCAATATGGTATGGAAAGGGCTGCGGATGTCGGCTTTAGCGGTAATCTCGGCCCCTTGCAATCGTCAACATTCTGCTTCCACTGTCAGTCCCCTAGGCAGAGGTAAAATGTATTCTCAGATTGTGGGAATAATGTTTTAACATGTGCTTGGAACAGTCATACTACAGTTTGCTGCTGTGGTTTTCTCGTAGTGAATGCTTTTTCTAATAACATTCAGAAAATTCTTCGAAATCTTGCGATTTTGCTAAGCTTTTGCCCATTCCTTTCTGCTTTGACTTTGGTCAAAGAAGAAAGGAATTAGTTATTGTTTCATTAGGTCGTTGCATTCATTTTTTAATTCGTGAACGACAGTAATACATAGATGTGCTGAGACTCGCTACAGGGTGGTGCTGACTATATCTGGAAGTGCGCCGAGATTGCCAAGATATTACCCAATTTCACTTTTGGCCCAGGTTCTCAGAAAGGAAAGACCCGGGGCACTCAAAGTGAACGGTACATGTAGGTTCATGATAAAAGGTATGATCATACCCAATGTGAACGAGGAAGCTCCGTTATAGAAACCACCAGGAAAAGCGAAAGTGGACATTTTGCTTAGAACGTCGACATTCACAGCACTCACCCTATTTCAAAATAAAAATATGGGTAGTCAATCGCCAACTTTGAGATTATCTAAAACTTAATTTGCTAATGAGGAAGCTGAAAGCTATCAAGCTCGTGCGTGGAAATTTTTTAGTGTACCGAATAGGTAGGAGTAGAATCCTTCAAAGATTGCATGCATTGCGCAGAGATCAAGTGGTGAAACTCTCACTGGATGGAACTGGAAGAAATCGCACAGACTTGGAATGGAGAGCAAGCAAGAAGGAAATTCAGCAATGTCGGATGAAAGGAAAGACCGAAGTAAGCACTCTACACCTCATTGTTTCCCTCTGTATGGTATCGTCACTTTTATAGGCTCCTTAAAAACGATAACTGATGAGTACAATCTCCGCACACCTTTGGGTAAATAATTTTATTTCATGTTTGAACAGGAATTCTGCAGGAATTATATAATGATGCTGGCCTTCTGGAGCATAGGTAAAAAAAATACTGCGCTGGTTTGTGGAACTCATGCTTACCAACCCAAATGTCGAGAAATGGGAGGACCCCATCATGATAGACAGTGGGTGAGTAACAAAATCTTATTTCATGAAAAACACCCCAAGTAACACAAGATATTCCAGCAACGTTTAGGAAATGTTGATGAACAATGGTGCATCTATGTGTAAATGTCCAAAACGTTGCTCAAAATGTTGCGAAGGAACATTGCAATTACGCTGCAAATCGCTACTTATTCATTACATA